AAGGACATGGAGCAACCAGCATTCTCCTCCAGTCCTGGTGGGAGGGTAAAATAGAATCATTTTGGAAAACTGGCAATATAGTAAAAACATAATCTTATACCTGCCTTTTAATGTAGATGGTTCAACTTCTGTGTATTTACCCACATTATGTGATATGATAATACACATTCACATAAATGTTTATTGTAGTTTTATTCATAAAAGACTAAACCATGGAGATGTGTTAATTTATATAATTAATTCATATAATAAAGTAGTTAATTCATATAATGGAGTACTACTTGACAATAAAAAAGAATAAATTTAAAATACATGCAACAATGTGAATTTCCCAAATTCCCTACATGCCAACAATCAAATTTGGAAGAATATATACTGTCCTTGGCCTAATGTTACTAGAGTCCTGAACCAGTGGCCTGACTGTGGGGCTCCCAACAAAACAGGTCCCTCCACTTGCTCCAAAAACAAACAGAAAAAGAAATAATGAAAAGCAGGAAAGGGAACTAATTGATACGGCCATATTAGGAAAACAAAGTGAGATTCAGCCCTGTCTTCAGGGGTGCTAGGTTTAAATGGTGGAAGAATTGGGAAGGTGGTAGGGGGTTCAAGGGAATTGGATATGTGTGAGAGGTTTACATAATTAAACAGTTTTGGTCAAACTGCTCTGTTTGATTATTATTTCACTTTGGGATCTGTGAGGTGGTGCTGGAGAAGTCTATCACTCAAAGGGGACACTTTGCACTTGTTGCTCAGGATGTTTAGCTATCAGACCTGTGATCCTGGAAGGGAGCAATTGTGAATCCTAGAAGGGTCTGATGCTGTAAAATTGGCTGAATGTCTGCAAATCTTGTCTCAGTCTTGAAGGAGGATGAGATAGATTAGGTAAATTTAGGACTAATAAGCCTCATATTACCAGTTTTTAGATAAACACTCCTTAAATGATTAACATGCCTAAGTGCAGAGCTAGCAGATCAACCCAAAGTTTAAGTTTAATGAAGACTGATACAAAATGAGGCAGAGATGTCAAGCTTTATCCTGCTTTTAGTTACCCTCAGGGTACCTGCAGGCCTAAATGAAGTGATTGCTTTTAGCAAAAGGCATCCTAAGGCCCCTAAGCGCTCAGGTCCCCATCTTGGGGTCTCTCCTGACCCACTTAGGCCAGTTTTGGTTTGCTAAAATCCTGCTGGGTCAGTTTAGCAAAAATTCCCTCCATTGATACTTGATCAAATTCCTCATTCCCTACCTATATCTTATCATCTTGGCCTGCCTTCATCTATATTCCTCTTGAGTTCCTTGTCTAGGTGTTTCCCATCTACCAAGCCCCACCCTGCTCCTTGGTTGTAAATTCTTGGTTGTCCTTTTTTTATTCAGAGTTGACTCCAATCTCTCTTCCCAACTGCAAAACCCATGCATGATAGAAGTCCCCCACCCCCATAAAGTCTTCCTCATCATCTTCAAGTAGAGACGTGAGTAATTTTGCTTTAACAATAGGAAAAATGAATCTATAGACGTAAACATCAGAAAGGCCAGTCTTGCCTCTTATAGAAGGGATTGCCTGGAAATGGGCATAAGGTAATTCTGTTGGGTTCTCTGTGACCAGGCACAAACTATTTTGTCCTTTTTCCATTATGCTATGCTTGGTCCTATTACTGGGTGACACTATTGTCAGCTAAACTCCACAATTCACTGCTTCAGAAATATTGGTAGAAAATAGGTTATATTCAAAGGCAGATTTAAAGGAAGATAGAAGAAATTTTCTGTTTTAAACATTCCACCTTCATATCCTCTAAGGGCAAGGAGGGCTTCTAAAAGAGAAGAGGTGGCTGCCGCAGTCTGGCTGGGCACAAAATAATTGAGCCGCCACAAAGCCTTGTAGGTTCAAACAGCAGCTCTTTATTCCCGAATTCTCACGGCACTCTACCCACACTTCCCGGGAACACACTTCCTCCACCGGGCTCCGCGCACCAATTCTCACAGAACCCGGAGAGAACTCCATGGGAACTCCAAAGTAGTGGGCACCCAAGGCAGCAGGATCCGCCCTATTCCCAGCAGGATCCGCCCTAATCCCTGAGCCGCCCTATTCCCAGAGCAGGGTCACCTTTAAAACATTCCCTCTGGCAAAATGCCAGGCGTCATTCCGACTAAACTATGGCTCTCAACAGGTGGCAAAGCGAGGCAAGTGGCAGAAAAATGAAGATATGCAGATTTATTTAGCCTGTGCTAGACAGGCACCGTCTCTACTCTCAGCTTGCTTGGAGCACATCAGGCCAAGAAGGCAGCCACTTAGCCTTTACTCTCAGCATGTAGAAGTCACTCTCAAATTTAGAGAAACCCCAACTGTTTCAGTGTGGTGATGTGGAAATGGTAAGAACTTTGAGAAAAGTAGGGAAGTTTGGGTCATTGGGAGTGCTAGCCTCTGAAGGAAATAAGATATTTCCAATGCAACCTTTTGGTAATTTCCACAGAGGATTATTATAAAATCCCAAGACAGCCAGGTGCAATGGCACACACTTGTAATTCCAGCGGCTTGGAAGGCTGAGGCAGGAGGATCAAGAGTTCAAAGCTAGCCTCAGCAAAAGCAAGGTGTTAAGCAAGACTCTATTTAAGTACAAAATAGGGCTGGGGATATGACTCAGTGGTTTGCTCCCCATTACCAAAAAAAAAAAAAAAAAAAAAAGTTCAAGCCAAGCCAGGCTCCACTCAGCTCTCCTTTTTGGTGATGTATTTGCCTGCCCCTGAATGTGCCCCTACAATTATCATCCACCATGATTTGACACAGGTGAGAGGGCTCTCCCTAAGGGAAGACACAATGTTATTTTTTTTTTATATTTATTTTTTAGTTTTCGGCAGACACAATATCTTTATTTGTTGTGGTGCTGAGGATCGAACCCAGAACCGCTCGCATGCCAGGCGAGCACTGCTACCGCTTGAGCCACATCCCCAGCCCCAAGGCACAATGTTCTTGAATATCTGCAAGAATGAAATCTGAACCAAACAGATCTTCTGGGTCACAGGATACCAAAGCCTGATTTATTATTTTTAGATGCTGCTTTCCCACTTTTTAGTAACTTGCTATACCACTTCCCTCTTTCCTTGTTTCTTTATAAGATTTTTGCTTTTCCATGAAGTACTAACCTCTTCCCTCTTGAACTTCCAGAATCATAAGCTAAATAAACCTCTTTTCTTTGTACATAGTCTCAGGTATTTTGTTAGTAACAAAAAGTTGACTAATGGACTTTCCCATTAATCCACACCAGGTCCCTTTGTTTTGGTAAAGCAGTTTAGATCTGTCATGTTCCACAATCCATCTCATCCTAATAGTTCTATCCCACAATGGAAGCACTTTTAAGCTGGCTGTTATTTCATGAGTGCTACTGTCACACATTCCACAAAATCTCATTACACCTTTCTTTTTAGTCTTCTGATAGCATTATATCCCTTATAGCATAATTAAACCTTTGATTTTATAATGTTTTAAGATGAAAATACATATACTTCTTGACCCAGAAATTTAGCATTTTCACCTCAATATTTAATTTGGGTGCTAAGTCAACACTTAGTATTGGTTGATAAATGGGTGTTAAGATGGAGTCATGTATTATTCCTAAATATCATGAATCATGTTGGATACAGCTGCTGAAAGAGTAAAAGAAATTGAAGTTAAAGTGTAAAAGACTGGGTATTGTAAAGTTTCTAAGCTGCAAAGCCTGAGTTAAAATGTAAAGGACCAGGTATTGTTAAGTTCCTATGCTACACTCAAAACCTGAAATTCCTGTAGCTGTTAGGACAATTCCCGGGACTGCCCAGTAGATACTCCCCCTGACCATTTAGTTGTTTAATAACCTAGACCCTGTGCAGCTTGGCACGTAGGCATCTCAGGGCCCAAACCAATCAGTTTGAATGTATCCCCCTCCTTAGGACTGCCCTATCACTCCTGCCCGACCTGTTCCTGCCAATGAATGTGCTAATCACGTTTGAGAGTTGTTTGATTTTCCTGTGCCTCATGATGATTTGCTCTGATGTATGCAAAGCCCCCGCCCTCCCCAAAAAGTGTACTTAAGCACTGCTCAACCCCTGCTCGGGGCTCTGGGCCGCTCTCCCTTCTTGAGTGAGCACGGAGCCCCAGTGCGCTGGATCCTCAATAAACCCCCTTTTGCTGTTGCATGAGTTGGTCTCTTGGTGGTCTCTTCCTCCGAGGTTCACTGGACCCTTACACTGCATGGATGGCCATATGGAAAATTAAGTCTTTTTACAGAAACTATTTGTTGGGCCCTAGCTTTAGGTTGAAGAGTAACCTTAATTTTCAGGAGCTTTGACACAAAGTTACACTTAGCCCTTCCATTTCTCTAAACCCATTCAAGGGTGAACAAATGGGAGGGCCTAGACAAATCATGATTGAATAATATGTCTTTCATTGTTCCATTCCTTTCATTTTAAAATGTGGGTGAGCACCACCCACTAGCATCCTTTCTTCATCCAGGACAAATTTTCCCTCTAGGAATGTATGAGAAAATAGTCTGCCCACAATGTCAGCATAAAATCAGAGTATCAACCAAAGTTGGAAACTGAAAAAAAAAAAAAAAAACAAAACTGGAATAATGAAACAAAGACAGTGAAAAATGTGACATATTGGAGAATAAAAAGAAGAGTATAAGTTGCCATCAAGGCCAAGGCCATATTTTTTTTTTGCCTAATTGCTGAATTCAATTAACCTGTATATTATTGAGGATTTTCACATCTAGACTCCAAAGTAAAGCTGGTTTATACTTGTTTTATAAATTTCCATCCTTGGTATGGAGGTCAAGATTATACCAACTTTGTTTTTAATATGGTAAGGGAGGTTACTGACTTTCTTTTGGAACCAATGTGTTAAGTGTTTGAAGCTTGGAAGGGAGAGACTGGAAGCAACATGAGGAAACTTTGAGGAGTGATGGTTATTATGCTCATAACCATGAATGTAGTGATGGTTGCAAGGGCATAAAAACACACACATCAAAGTGTATATTTAAATATGCACAGTTTATTGTATGTCAATGATGCTCCAATAAGGATGCTTTTATAAAGCATACAACTTAGGTCTGGGCTCTGCCCTTGGGCTCTAAAATACAGTAGCAGTGCCCTGTGTCCCCATGCTGACTGGACTCTGGGGAAATAACCTCCACCCATTGTAGCCCCATGAGAAAAGAACACCAAAAAGGGAGCCCATGGGGAAAAGATCCATACTGTCAAGCATGACAATGAAGAATATCCTCTGGGCAAAACAACAATTTCCAGTAGAACAATTACTGGGAGAGACTGGATCTTTCTGTGATCCTTCACGGTAATTTGGTCAGTCCACAATTTCACCAACTAAAGACCTCACAGTTTGTTTGAAAGGAAGCATGTTACTGTCACAATATTACTTCAACATGAATTATGATTATTGGGATTACATATGCCAGCTTATATAGTTAGCACTAGATATAGTGACAATGGAAATGACTTTAGGAAGCTTGTAGATCTCTTGAACCTTGGACACACAATTGTTAGGAATTTGAAGTGTAAAAAGGAGGTCATTACTTCAGCCCCCTTGGGGTTCCAGATGAGTGTATCATCTTGGCCAAAGTTCCTTTTATGATCTCTAAATGGATCTGAAATAGTACCTTCAACATTCTGTAAGAAGGGATCACAGAAGCCAACCTTAAGTCATTAAAAGGAGAATGAAATGAAGCAACAGAAAGAATCCTTATCTGATCTGCCTGGCAATCTGTGGCAGTGCAAGAGGACATAAAGCTCATATTACATTTGATGGCTAGGGAGGAGATTTTGACTATTGCTACAAGTACGATTCTTGAGATATTTTTCCAGTTGGATAATGTACCTGGACAGATGTCTTACAACCATCAGGAAATAATATTCCTATTACAGAAAGTCTAGCAAAACCACAATCTATTTCTTCCCATGTGATGGATGCAGTGTTCAAGGCAGATCCCGTACAGAACTGCTCTTATGCCATCAGGACAGCAGGTGAACAGGTTGGAACACTTCACAGACTTCACTCCCCAAGAAGGATAAGTTTCTAGAAAATGCTTCCCTGAAAAAAAAAATCATTATTTATACTTGAGGAGGCTCAAAATTAGGGAAAGAAGAAAAGAGTTTTGTGTTCTCCTACATCTCTATTTGTGTCAAGTTGTTGGACAGAGACTCTTCCATTTGGTGAAGGATAACATTGCTGAGTTAACTACAGTTCACATCTGTAATCTGTCTCTGCAAACAACCAGGGGATACCAGTGCTTACCTGAATCAGAAGAGAGTCCAACAGTTGCCTATTCAGACCCCATGGCTGTGGTGCTCTGGCAGGCCCTGCAAGCCCCATGAAAATTGTGCCCTCTGAGCTGAAGTGTTCTTGAATTCCTCCATAGAGGAGACGTGGTAGCTGCCTCCTTTGCTGGGGGAAAATATTCTGTCCAACTCCTTAAGAACATTGAGAAAAGTCAATCAGCAGAAGCAGATACCAGAAAACAAAAGTGCAAAGCCATGTACCCAGAATCCTCCACCTTTTGTAGTTCCTCTCCCACTGAAGCATCTCCTAGTAGAAATGCATGCCAGAAGCAGACTCCTGGCTTATAGAATCTGACATGCCTGAAAGGCAAAAGATTTCTGAAAAAGCTAGTAAGTCAGCAGACTCTCTGAGCTTTTCCTGAAAAATAGCCACAAATTCTTCTTATATCCACCAATTGGAATTCTTTTCAGCTAACTTAGCTATGTGGAACCAGTTCTGAATAAAACTGTCATTGAGTCTTCCAAGGACCATTTCATGAAGTCAGGAAAATCCACATAAAGAGAAGATGGAAATCCTAGTTGAATAAGTGAACCTGACCTTAGTGTACTGAAAATATGGTTTTGCCAAGAATCTCCACATCAGTCTATGGATACAGTAATACAATTTGTGAAAGAGGCAGATGCTCAGAAGTTGGCATTATTTGGAAAGGCTTTCAGTAGACAAGAAACTGATGGGAAGGTTTTGCTGTGCCTGAGGGATTATGAGGATGAAAAATGCAAGCAAAGGCAAAGTTGAGATCAGCATGAAAGCTAAAAAATAAGTACACCAAAAGATCACAATCCACAATCCACATGAACACTCTGTTCAGTCCGCTTTTCAGTCATACAGATGCCTATTTGGTTTAAATGTGTTTTTATTGTCCTAAGCAGTCTTAAGCACAAAGTTCTGGAAACTGCAGAACTACCATTATAATCTCCATCTCCTTCTTTAAACATATATATCTTTTAATTTATAAGTGTACAGTTTACAAATATACTTTGTACAGGAAAACTGTAACGTGTGTATTGACTTCAGTAAATACTTCAACATAAAGCAACCAAATTTCAGTGGGTAAATTATCAGAGATTCACAATTTATATAAATAAATGCACATAAATTTTATCCTAGGAGAGAACTTAACTATGCATCTAAATTATGTTTTCTCAACACAATTGATCAGGTGATTCTTGTGAAGAATTCTCTGAGCATGGTAGGATGTTTAACCATATCACTGGCTTACACACACACACACCAGTTCTATCAATTAAAAATGTTTCAGAAAGGGAATTGCAATATACATCATTTTTCATCATTTGGTGTACATTTTTAAAAATTCATAAACTTGGAAATTTTTTAAAAAAGAAAGAAACAAAAGATATGGAGGTCTGAATGAATTAGACATTTAACTGCCATTAGGTTACTAATTTTTTTTTTTTTTATCCTGGTGCTGGGCATCAAACACTCTACTACTGAGCTATACCCCCAGCACTAAGTTAGCAAATTTTAAGGGAGGTCATGCTACCATGTGACTCAAAAGGCTAAAAGGCGAAGAAGTGGATTTTCATTTGCAAAGGCATAAATTTGAAAAAGATAGATTTTCATTTTCAAATAGATTTTTGTTTGCAAGGGTCTGGTGAATAGCTATAAGCCATGGGAACCCCGTTTGCTATTAGATGAAAGTAGGTCAGAGATTAATCCTGCAAAATTCAAAAGAGAGATGCAATTTCTGATCTAGGAAAAAGATAACTTCAGTGTCTGGAAACTTCATAGATTTAATCACTGTCTTGCAGGGTATTATATAATTAAAGAGAATCTTACTCCTTTGAATCTAAGCTTTGGAGTCCTAAACATGGACTGAGGTAACACACATATAGATTTTCCATGTCCACTTTGTGCCTTTGCTATTGATTTATTCATTGGGTGTTCAATAACATTAACTCCAGGCAGCCTGATCTACCTAGGGGGAGTTTGGGATTTTCATTCTACCTCCACGCAGGTGGGGTCTGGGCTGTCAAGACAGAAACAAAGGAAGGCACTGCCTCTATTCTGCTGAAGTGATTAAAAGGTGTGTCATTATTAACTCTTTACTATTGATTATGCTTTTGCATTCCATTAGAGTGCAGGATTGAGAGTTGGTGCTAGGTGTGTTGAATGTTCCTTAGCTAGTTCGTTACTGAAACTATGGAAAAAGTCCTGGATATTAAGAATCTACTCTGCCACATAGGATTCTATTAACCACACATACTTTCAGTGAATGTATACTGATGTTAATTTTTCTGTTGCAGTTATTCCAATGATAGTTATTAAAATGTCATTTCATTGTGCAGTCTTTAATAAAAATCTAGATTTGTATTTTTTTCATTTCATTTTTCTAGTAAATCTTTTACAAAATATTTAACCACAATGAATAGAAAATTTAAAAAAAACACCAAAAAATGACCATTCACCACATTTTGAGCAGCACAGTTGAGAGGTAAATTGTTTAACACCATCTCACACAACTTGTTTCCATGTTCTTTTTTCAAGGGATATTTACATGTTAATTCTTTTGTAGATTAAAAAGTAAAGGCTCAGAGAAATCAAGCTGTAATAATGAAAGCCTGTTAGTGGAATTGTTATCAGTAGATAGTCTCACTCTTGAACTTAGAAGAAACACAATTCAATATCTTGTCCAAATTAGAAGTTGGATCTTTAATATGCTGAGTACAACAAAAGAAGAGTTGGATTTGGGTGCTTGTATTAAGCAACTGGGCTCAATATTTGGGCACAGTATTGAACAAATAGGCTCCGGTATCGGCTTGCCTTAAATTCAAGTTTTGATTCTGCTCCTTTCTTTTTTTAAAAAAGTATTTTTTTAATTGTAGTTGGACACAAAATACCTTTATGTTACTTATTTATTTTTATATGGCGCTGAGGATCGAACCCAGGGCCTTCCTTGCTCATGCTAGGGGAGCGCTCCACTGCTGAGCCACAACTCCAGCTCTGACTCTGTTCCTTTCTACTGTGGGACCTTGGAGAAATTACTTGATTTCTCTGAGCCCTTGTCTCTTTGATTGTACAGTGAGGCTAATTAATAATAATGATAATGATACCTTCCGCAAAGAATTGATGCGAGGATTAAATGAGAATGCGTATGGAAAGCCCCTTAGTAGCACTGCATTGGGAATGAACAATGATCGTCCGTTCTTATCCTTACTGTGCAAAGTACTTTCACGTGCTGCTACCGAATGCGACCTCCTCTGCAACTCATGAGGCAGCAGGGAAAATACTCGTAACATTTTAAACATGAGGACATTTAGGCTTTAAATGACCAGCCGCGAATCGGGAGGGACATATTTCCAAATCTTTGCTCTTGGCACGATAAGCCCGAGCCCTCACTGGCAAGCGGCCGCCTGATCCCGGGAACAGGGGAGTTGACCACCCTCCGTCGCTTGAATGCTTACATTCAGTCAAATCTAAATCCGTGTCCTGGTGACTTCCATCCTGAGTCCCGCCATACTCTGAAGCAAAAGAATTAAAAAGGTGGTTGACCTCCTCAAAACGAAGACCACCGCCAGCCCCAGTTCCACAATAAACGTCCGGAGTGTCTCCCGGGAGGGCGCAGCCCAACGCCCTCCACCGCGCTCATCAGAAGATCTGGAAACCAATCTTCCGCCCGCCGCCCACAACCTCCTCCCGCGCAGTCCCGGGACCCGGTCCAGTCAGAATGTCACCCGCGTGGGCCCTCCGCGCGCCGCCCTGGCCCCGCGTTGGCCGGCCGCCCCGACTCCCCGCTGGGAGCCAGAGCGCGGAAGCTCTGCAGCTCCGGTCCCCAGACCTGCCCGCCCGCTCCTCCCCTCACTCGGGCACCGACGTGTGGCCACCCAGGATGTTCCCAGGGTCTCTCTCCGCCTCTCCTGCCCCGCAGGGACCCAGCCTGTCTCTTGACGCGCTAAGGACCGCGACTCAGCAGTCGCTCATCTTAGCTTGGCGCGACCGCGGTTTTCTTTCTACACCTTAGTACGCCGCCTGGAGAAGGCTGACCCCGCCCCCGAATCCGGGACCGCCCTCCCAACCGCCACACCAACGGTCACCAACCGCCCCCCCAGACGCAGGCCGGCCCCGCCCCCTGCTCCAGACCCCGCCTCCCCGCTGCAGGTGGACTCCGCCCTCCCGACTACCGCCACGCCCCCCGCCAGGCCGCCTCCCTGGGCGTTTGGGGTTCCCCGACCCGCTCCCGGGCAACAGGTTTACTTTTCCCCGCTCCTCAGGGCAGGTCGACCCCGCCCACTTCGCCCTAGGCCACACCCACACCCAGGTTCCGCCCCCGCCAAAGTCTTTCAGGAAACGCACCCCTCTGCAGGTCAGCCCCACCCACTCAACCAACCACTATTCTCCCCGCAGGCAGGCCACGCCCCCGGCCCCCTCCCCACAGTTTTCGGACCGCCTCGCCACTACGTTCCACTTGTTAGCAGGGTTCTGCTCACTGCGGAACTTTTGCCGGCTTGCCTGGGCAAACAGTGGGAGGAGCAAGAAACGCCACGCCTCCTACGCGGCCTCAGGTTTTGGCCTCCGCGCGTCAGCCGAGGAGGTGAGGTTCTGAAGAACCTTGCACGTATTTTCCCAGCTGCACTGATGAGAAGGGCTGAGAACTACTAACCTACCAGGACCAGCAGATCCGAAGATTCCTCCCAGATTCCAGGAAAGCCGACTCCCAGTAGCGGTGGAGGCGGGCCCCTGTGCAGGGCCATTCCTGTGGGGGTGCGGAGGGCCGCGCGCCAACACGTGCTCACTGTGGAGACTCCTGAACCTTGTGACCCGAATGTGCAGCCTCCTGATGACCGCCGACCTGGTCAGAGCGGAGCCCAGCGCAGCTGTCACTCTCTCTCATAGCTCTCTGACTCGTTACCCCTCTGCTGCTGCATGTAGCCGACTTCCTTGAATAATGGGATGGGCACAGAGAAATGACCATTAGTCATTTGCATCTGAGAATGTCTTTGCCAGCTACTTCTCCTACAGGAGATTACTATCCAGAATATATAAAGAACTCAAAACACCAACACCACCCCCCGAATAACCCAATTAGTAAATGGGCAAAATAAAGCATTTCTCAAAACAACAAATACAAATGGCCAACGAATACATGAAAAAATATTCGACATCCCTAGCAATCAGGGGCTGCAAATCAAAACTATATTGAGATTTCATCTCACTCCAGTTAGAATGCCAGTCCTCAACAACAGAAGTAATAAATGTTGGTGACAGTGTGAGGGACAAGGTATTGTTGGTAGAGATTGCAGATTAAAACAATCTCTTTGGATTAAACCTCCATCCTATGGCTTGGTGTATATCCAAAGAAATAAAATCAGCAAAATGTAGTGATATAGGCTCATTAATGTTTTTAGCAGCACAATTGACAATATCCAAGTAAAACCATCAAGGGACCAGATAGATTAATGGATTTTTAAAATGAGGTTTTACTCAGGGAAGAATGAAATTATAGCATTTGATGATAAATGGATAAAATTGGAGAACATCAAGCTTTGTGAAATAAGCCAGACTCAGCTAAGGAGTAAATTTTTTTCTCTGATATGTAGAAGCTAGAGCAAAATAAGGGGGAAATAAAAAAGGAGAGCGTATCCTATGAAAATAGAAGGGAGATCAGTGGAGTAAAGGAAGAGGATGAGAGGGGAAGGGAGTAGGGGCAGGAAAAGGGAGGAACTGTGGAATGAAGTTGACCAAACAATGCTATATACATATATGCATATACCATAGTGAATTTCACCTTTATGTATATGAATGAAACACCAATTTAAATAAATAAATAAATAGAAGGAAGATCAGTAGAGTAGTGGAAGGGGAACAGAGGAGGAGGGAGGGGAGGGAAAGAGAAAGTCCTGGGGACTGAAATGAAGCAAATTATATTTTATGCATGTATGATTATGCCAAATGAACCCCACTATAATGTATAACTATACTGTACTAATAAAAGCATTTTTAAAAAAGAAAAGGAAAGGAAAAATAATCTCACTTGTCTGTTTTCTCTTTTGTTTCCTGTGCTTTTGGGGTCATATCCAAAAAGCCATTGCCAATGCCAACATCTCAAAGTGTTTCCCCTATGTTTTCTTCTAGTAGTTTCATGGTTTCAGGTATTACATTTAGATCTTTGATCCATTTTGAGTTGATTTTGTACAGTGTGAGAAATAGTGGTCAAGTTTCTATTTTTTACAGGAGGATATCCAGTTATTCCAATACCACTTATTAAAGAGTCTGTCCTTCTGCATTGTATGTTTTTGGCATCTTTGTAGAGAGTCAGTTGGATATGATAAGTTTATTTTAGGACCTCTATTCTGTCCCATTGGTCTCTGTCCATTTTTATGCCAATATCATGTTGTTTTGTTTACTGTGGCTCTGTAGTATATCTTGAAATCAAATATTGATGCCTCTAGTTTTATTCTTTTTGTTCAAGATTACATGGACTATTTGGTGTCCTTTGTGGCTCTATGAATTTTAGGATTATTTAAATCTAGTTCTGTAGAAGACTTTCTTGGCATTTTGGTGTGGATTGCATTGAATCTGTAAATTACTTAGGGTAGTATGTAGATTTTAACAATTCTTCCAATCCATGAAAATGGGAGAGCCTTCCATTTGTGTGTCTGTGTGTGTGTTCAATTTCCTTCATCAGTGTTTTCATTTTCATTGGAGAGATCTTTCATTTCCTTGGTTAAATTTATTCCTAGGGTATTTTGAATAGGATTGCTTTGTTGATTTCTTAGAAATCTTTTTATTGCCATTTAAAAAATGCTACTGATTTTTATGTTGTTTGTGTATCCTGCAACATTACTAAATTTGTTTCCCAGTTCTAAAAGTCTTTTGGTGGAGTTTCATTTTTTTCTGCCTATAGAATCATATCATCAGCAAACAGGAATAATTTGACTCCATCGCTTCCTATTTGTATGCCTTTTGTTTCTTTTTCTTGCTTAATTGCTCTGGCTAAAACTTTCAATACTATTTTGAATAAAAGTTATGTCCATTATTGTACACACTTACCTTGTTCCAAGTCTTAAAGGAAATGCTTTCAGCTTTTCCCCATTCAGTATAATGTCGGCTGTGGATTTGTCACATGTAGCCTGTGGTATGTTGGGATGTGATTCTCCTTTATCTCTGTTTGTAGATTGGATAATTTGCACTGTTCTGCCTTCGAGTTTATTGATCCTTTTCTTTTTCTTGTCCATTCTCATATTGAGTCCATCTGGTGATTTTTTTCACTTCAGATACTGTATTTTAATTTCAACAATTTTCATTTGCTTCCTTTATACATTTTTATTTCTCTGTTGAGGATTTCTATTCCTCCATTCACTTAAATATTTTTTCTTATAACATTTTTCTTGTAACCTCATAATGCAGAGAGAAAACTATTTTAAAGTCTTTGATAATTATCTCTAGAGATTGGCATTTGTTGATTTTTTTTCCTCCTTTGATAATTGGTCACTTTGTCCTGGTTGGATGTATGTTTAGAGATTTTGCTTGCATCCTGGACAATGTAGATGTTATATATTGTAGACTGTGGGTCCTGTTGTAAGTCTCTGAAGAATGTTGATGTTTTCTGTGTCAGTAAGAAATCAATTAGTCTATATTTCAGACTGTAAGTTCTATCCCACCTTCTATGGTTATGTCAATTTAGGTACACATACACAAGCACATATACACATACCTTCACTTTGAGAATTGCTTTAAGAACTAGCAGTAAGCCATTGCTTGCCTGGTCATTTTATCAGCTTGGGGGCTCCCCTGAATTTTACTTACTTCCAATGTAACACCAAATATAAGAGGAAAAAAAATGTTTTTCCATATAGGTTAGTCTTCTAAGAAATGTTTCCTTAATTCACTTTCTTAAAATATTTGTTAAAAATTATTCAGTTATAGGTGGACACAATGTCTTTATTTTACTTTATGTGGTGCTAAGGATGAAACCCAGTGCCTCATGCATGCTAAACAAACACTCTACCTCTGAGCCACAATCCCAGCCCTTCTTTAGGTCACTTTTTAATCCCCTAGATTAAGAGTTTCCCATAGCCTTCTTCCAAGTTTGGACATTTTACCATCAAGACTTAATGAGTTTAGTCTGCCAGATCATTTTCTACTTTTTCTTTGACTTTCTGGTTTATGTTTCTTTTTAAATTCTGTGTTCAATTTAAACAGTCCTTGAGGGTACAAAATTACCTTTAAATCACTCTGTATTAATCATATTAACTAACTTCCTTTCTAAGATCCTACTCACCTTTCCAGCCTAAAGGCGGAGTCACACATGAAGCCTTTGTATTTATGTGTCTGTTCTTTACTATTTCCTATCTGCTCCCTTTACTGATGTCCTTTCCCTAATTGTTCTCTTCTGACTGCCTATCAGGTATACAACTCAGCAGTTTTTAGTTTTTATCAAAATGTTTACTGTTTTTTTTTATTCACACTAGACAATCACATTAAGATGAAACACTTGATGCACAGAATGGTTCTGACTAAAACAAACTGGCATAAACTCTACTTTTTTGTACTTATGAAATTCTTCGAACTGTGAAAACTGAGCCCACAGCTCTCTGTATTCTTACTGGAATTTGTACTTAATAGTTTTATTATTTTTTTTTAATTTTTTATTGTTGGTTGTTCAAAACATTACATAGTTCTTGATATATCATATTTCACACTTTGGTTCAAGTGGGTTATGAACTCCCATTTTTACCCCGTATACAAATTGCAGAATCACATCAGTTACACATCCATTGATTTACATATTGCCATACTAGTGTCTGTTGTATTCTGCTGCCTTTCCTATCCTCTACTATCCCCCCTCCCCTCCCCTCCCATCTTCTCTCTCTACCCCCTCTACTGTCATTCATTTCTCCCCCTTGTATTATTTTCCCCTTTCCCCTCACTTCCTCTTGTATGAAATTTTGTATAATCCTGAGGGTCTCCTTCCATTTCCATGCAATTTCCCTTCTCTCTCCCTTTCCCTCCCACCTCTCATCCCAGTTTAATGTTAATCTTCTT